TTGCATGAAGAGGCCATGCTGACTGACTGACCTACACCACCTTGGTTTCTGTGTACACTCTGATGCTTGTGTAGCACAAGCACCCCTGGAAACATTCCTCAGAGTGTAAGCCTGTTCTTAAGTAGTGACTGTATTTATTTTTCTTTTTAAAAAGAATAATGTACTACATTTTTATGTATTTTGTGTGTAGGGGCGGGGGCACCATGGTGCATGGGTTGAAGTCAGAGCATAACTCTGGTTCCCACTGTCCATCATGTGGTCAGATACTGAACCAGTCTCTTCCTTTTTTAAAAAAAATTCTTGATTTAATTTGTTGACTATGTAAGCCATGAGGTTCCAGAATGAAAACTATATAACTGTGTATTGAAGATGTCTTATTTCTACTCACAAATTCTCCAAGTTTTTACAAACTACATTTTATCCATTTCTCGTTTGTTTCCCATTGTTTCTTGTTGTTAGTATAAGCAAATGCATTTAATTGTATCCTTCCATTTTTATTACCCAAGAGGTTGCACAGTACACACTGCAATATTCTTTCCCCTGCTTATCCTGGAGGTTTCATTGTTACAGTTTATAGAGTTTCCTATTCTCTTTTTATACTGCACTGTGTCGTTTGGAAAGATGCATCATAATTCATTTCACTGGTCCTCCATCAGATGCACATTTGATTTGTCTTCCCATTTTTTTACGATCACTAATCATGCTCCAATGGATAATCTTGCACATAGTCATTTCGTGGCTTTGCTAGTAGCTTTCCAAATGCTGGGCCAAAAGGTAAACAAATACATATGTAATTTTTCTTAACGTTCCCAAATTTCCCTCTATAGGCATCATGCTGTTTTGTGTTTCCATCAGCAATGCTTGAGAGCACCGGCTTCTCCACAGGCCCATCAGCACAGTGTATATTCAAACTTGGATTTCTGCCAGTCTGATAGATGAGAAATCTCTCAGTTCAACTTTAATGTACATTTCCTTTTTTTAAAAAAGTGCATTACTTTTTCTGTGCATAAAGGCCATTTTAATTTCTGAGTTATAAACATACAGGGCTAACACATATTTATTGTATGGTTAATTTTTCTCTCTGGATCTTTTTCTTAAAGAGATCTCTAAATGACAGATATATTTGCTTATTTTTAAGGAAATAAGTTACAAGTGCTTCCTGCTCCACTTGTCATTTATCTTTTGGTTGCTTGTAGTTTTCTAAAGGCTATATACTTTTTTTTAGAGCTATTCATTCCAATTTATCAATCTGGATTTCATGTCAGTCTGGAAACAGAAAGTGCCCTCTATTCTGTGTTTTACAGATGTCTCTTCTTACTTTCCAGCTTGGTGTCTTCTTCTTCTTCTTCTTCTTCTTCTTCTTCTTCTTCTTCTTCTTCTTCTTCTTCTTCTTCTCCTCCTCCTCCTCCTCCTCCTCCTCCTCCTCCTCCTCCCCTTCCTCCTCTTCTTCCTTCTCCTCCTCTTCCTCCTTCTCCTCCTCTTCCTCCTCCTTCTTTCTTCTTTCTTTTTTTTTCTTTGAGACAGGGTTTCTCTGTGGCTTTGGAGGCTGTCCTGGAACTAGCTCTTGTAGACCAGGCTGGTCTCAACTCACAGAGATCTGCTTGCCTCTGCCTCCCAAGTACTGGGATCAAAGGCATGCACCACTGCTGCCTGGCTTCTTCATTTCTTGATACAGAGTCTCTCCATGTAGCTCTGCCTGTCCTGAGGCTGGCCTAGAACTCACAGAGATCAGCCTGCCTCTTCCTCCTGAGTGCTGGGATTAAAGGCAAGAGCCACCACTCCTAGCTATGTTTTGTTCTTTTTCATAAACAGTTCCTAATTTAATATACTCAAACCAATGAGTATTTTCCCTTTTGGGGACCAAATCTAAGAATATAGTCTGCTTTGAGGCCACTGAGATACTGGACTATTTTATCTTCAACAATCTGAGAATTGCTTCTTTTCATTCAAGGACCTGTGTGAGTTTGTCGACTGGTATTTACCAGTCCTTGAAGATCTAAGTATCTGTAGGTGGTGTTACTGTGACATGGCAGGGTGAGATTGATGGTTTGGGTGCTGTCAGGGTTATGTGGAGAGTCACAGTGACTGGAACTGCATTGTTGTCACGTGCAGTGGGGTGAAACCTAACTCCATGGACATTTACATATTCTTAAAAAGCCAACTCTTTGCCTAGGATGTGACACAATTTAGTAAGCTTCCTTGCTTTGTTTTTCACAATTACAGCTTTATTCTCCCTGAAATTTATTTCATTTTTGGAGAATAGTGTAATGTAGGAAAACTTCCTTGTGTTCCACTTTCCAGAACTTTTACTTACTTATTGATGTGTTGGTGTGCATATGCGTCTGTGTGGGTGTGTGCATACATGTGTGTGAGGGTGCATATGGAGGTCTGAAGTTGACATCAGGTGACTTCCTCAATCTCTCCCCACCTTATTTTTTGAGACAGGGTCTCTCACTGCATCCATCCGTAGCTCACCGATTTTGCTAGGTTGGCTGGCCAGTGAACTCCAGGGATCGTCCAGTCTCATCTTCTTCAGCACTGGGATTACAGACATGCACTATTACATCTGGCTTTTGATGTGGGCTCTGAGGATCCAAATTCAGGTTCTCATGCATGCATAGCAAGCACTTTGCTGATATGTTCCCAGCATCTTCCCTGAACTTCTAATTCAGGAAACAGCCTTCCTCATTGCTCACCAGTGCCCTGTTTATTACTATGGACAGGGCTGCTCCTGCCCTTCTGTTCTGCCATATTGGCACAGTCACACAATTCAATAACTTTAAACAAATCTTGGTATTTGGAAAGGAACTTCTTTAACCCTATTGTTTTTCAGCAATATCTTATGTTTTGGGTTCCTATATTCCCTTAGAAAATTTAGAATGATTTCACACACACACACACACACACACACACACACACATCTATTCAGACTTTGACTAGAATTGCATTTAAACTATAGGAGTGTCTAATTCTTCTGTTTGGGAATAGTGTGTACCCAAATCTTCTACACCTCCCTTTGTATGTATTCCTCACCGTTGAGTTACTCAGGCAGACAGTTTTTTTTTTAAAGATTTGCATTAGTTTTTAAGTTTTGTGCATATTTATAAGCATAATGTATGGTTCACCATGCTAAATATTTAAAAGATAAGTTACCATGGGTCAAAAAGTACTAAATAACTATGATTTAATACACTGAAAGGTATGCATAATTGCTATGCAGATACCATACAATTTAAGTCATATTGTCTGATCATCTGTTTCTACAAGGATAACAATGTTAAATTTCGTGTTGAACTTGTGTTAAGCTACAACCTGAAAATTTCTATTTAGCCTCTTTTTTTTTTTCTGAGAAAATAACCAACTAACTTAGGATTATGACTTCTGTTTGTCCTCTTTTGTCCACACTAGCTTGGAACTCACTTTATAGATTGGGCTGGCCTTGAATTTGTTGTTATCTGGGAGGAGTATTAGCTGACATCTGTTTTTCTCAGCCTGGATTCCCTAGCTTGATTTCTTATTGAGGAGCAACATCCAAAAGTCTGTCTCCTATTTCCAACCTAAGAAATGATCTAGAGGTGCTCTTGATGATAGAGGACCGTACCTAGGATGTTTGAGGTCCTGGGTTTTCCAGCGCTCTGGACAGAAAAACTCATCTATACTCCTTTAAATAACCCCCCCAAAACTTACCTGTAGACTCAGTAGATTTGTGTGGAATCACATCTTTCTTCGTGTCTCCCCAGAAAAAGCCTAACACAAACATCCTAAGAAATGACTGTTGTGTTTCATTCAGTAACACTTTTTATGGTGTTTATTTTTTAAGTGCCTTGAGTTTTCTCCTATTTTCAGCTTCACACTGGTTTCCCCTTTAGTCTTTGAGCATTTTTCTTTGTTCAATTCTACCTATTTTGTTGTTGCCCTTTGTTTCAAATAAGGTATCTGCAAAGCGTGACCTAGAGGCTGAACATGTCGCTCTGTGTTTAATTTTGCTTACTTATTTATTATTATTTATGTTAGTTCCTGTGGTCTAAGAATGGTTTCTACTTTTTAAAAACAGTTGAGGAAAGGCAGAGGGAGGCAGATCTCTGTGAGTTTGAGGCCAGCCTGGTCTACAAGTGAGTTCCAGGGCAGCCAGGACTGTTACACAGAGAAATCCTGTCTTTTTTTTTTTAAACTTTTTTATTAATTTATCTTTTACATTCCAATCCCAGTTCCCCTCTCTCCTTTTCTCCCACTCACTCCACTCCCCCTCTCCTCCCATCTGTTCCACAGAGAGGGTAAGGCCTCCCCTAGGAAGTCTATTAAGTCTCTCCCATCACCTAGTTGAGGCTAGACCAAGGCACCTCTCCACCCCCACACCCCTGTGTCTAGTCTGGACAAGGTATCACTCCATGTAGAATGGCCTCCACTAAGTCAATTTGTGTATTAGTGTTAGATCTTAGACCCACTGCCAGTGGCCTCATATATTGTCCCAGCCACACCATTGTCACCTATATTAAGGGAGTCTAGTTCAGTCTTATGCAGGTTCCCCATTGGTCAGACCTAAGTCAGTGATTTCTCACTACTCGGGTCAGCTGATTCCCTGGGTTTCCCCATCATGGTCTTGACTCCTTTGTTCATATTTTCACTCCTCCCTCACTTCCATTGTACTCCAGAAGCTTGGCCCATTGGTTAGTTGTGGGTTTCTGCATCTGCTTCCATTTGTATCTGGAAGAGGGTTCAAGCTTCTCTGGGGTTAGGGATTATAGGCTGGGTACCTTTTGCTTTATGTCTGATATCCACTTATGTGTGAGTATATACTATATTTGTCTTTCTGGAAACCCTACCTTGAAACCCCACCCCATATCAATTTTTAGTATTCATTACTAGTTTGTTTTTCAGATTTCATTTATATATCTATTTATACACACTCATATGTGTGCATATATAACAATAATAAATAAAAAGAGGTCATGAATTCAAGAGAAAGCAGGGGCATGTGTGGATTGAAGGGAGGAGAGAAAGCAGTGAATGATATCATTATATTTTGATTAAAAATAAAATACATTAATAAAAAGTGACAGTGTCTAGATAGTATATAGATCTGAACAAATATTATTTTAAAATGTTGACCCAAATTTTAGTTCGTTTTATTTTTTATATTTTATTTAAATAACATTTTTCATTTATTTTATATACCAACTAGTTTCCTCTCCCTGCTCTCCTACCATCCCCACCCCTTTCCTATCTGCCTCCTCCCCATCCACTTCTCCTCCATCCCCATTCAGAAAGAGACAGGCTTCCCATGGGCTTGCACAATGCATGGCACATTAAGTTGAGGCAGGACAGAGCTCCTCCCCTTGTGTTGAGATGGGACCAGGTCTTTAATCAAGGAACTGTCTCATGTAGCCCAGGCTCTCCTTGACCCGACTATGTAACTAAGGATGACTGAACTTCTGTCCTCCTGAGTGCTGGAATTACAAGCATGTGCCACTGTGCTCTGCTTGTGTGGGCCCAGGGCTTCATGCATACTAAGCAAACACTCAACCGAGTTGCATCTCTATTACAAGGCAGATTCTTTTAAATTTGATTTTCCTGAGACCCTAAATTGAATAAAATTTCACTGATGAAACTCATGGCATGTCTGGTAGACATTGGCTTCTAGTGATGTAGCTTTAGCAAATGTAATTTAAAAACATGACAATCTGATTTCTAATCACTTCGTCAGGTGGGTGGAGAATATTGCTGCCACATGCAATGGTCATGTCCCAGGCATCAATGAAACCCACATGAAGGTCTTTGAAAATATCCTTCATGGTTAGATACTGAATATAACCATGGAAGTCTCCGAATTTCTCTGTATCCAGGTACATCTCCCTGATATTCTCTGCCTTAATGATGACTTTGGTGTTAGGGCCTCTGAGGAAGAGTCGTTCAATAGCCTTTTGGATGCTGATGACTCTACGGATGAAAAGTTCCATGGGGAAGGGTCTGAAGTGCTGGCCCAAGGTGATGACGATGACAGTATCTTTGTCACCTGGTAGGCGGTCAATTTCCTGAGGAATATACCCATCATCTATCACAGAGTAGAGCTGGACCGTGATAAAAGGATGGCTGTGTTTTTTCCATTCAACCAGAGTGTGCCTGTCAGCATCCAGAAGCAAGTGTTTCTTATATAGTCCAGTCCCATGAAGATCAAAAGGCTTCAATGCTGACAAGAAAACAGAGAGGATCTTTAACTAGAAGGTAATGATGAATAAATGTTAAAAGGAAGAGCAATATTTATGAGAGGGAGATTAAAATATATATCTAAAGATGCAAACCTAGAAGGTAAAATAAAATAAAAAACAAAGCAGCCCTGGCAGAGGAGGGAGCCCACACTCAAAGCACTGTTGGGTCAGCTTGGATTTCTGAAAGAATATGAAAATAATGACATACTGTTTGCAACTTTTGGAAAGTAGTTGATCCATTGGCGAAGCGTCGAGTCTCCCAGGAGGTAAATGAGTTTTCCTTTTAAACAGTCATTTATCTGACTCGAGTTTAACAGATTCTGCTTGCACTGGGCTGTTATCCACCTTCCTTGGAAGGTGTAACCGCTAGGTGTGGGAATCTCTGTCCCCATCTGACATTTCTGTGTCCTGTTTTCTTCACTCTCTGGTAAAAGATATTTGTGGAAAGTAGTTTTAATGGCATGAGTCAAACACCCAGTTCCCCTCCCCCTTTCTTTATCTTTTTCTTTTTCTAACAACCATTTCCCATGCTACTTTATTTTTTGACTACTAGTATGTTTTAGGCACCCCAACTCGTTTCTTTTTCTCTCTTTCTCTCGTCTTCCCTTTTTCAGGCAGGGTCTCACTATGTAGCCCTGGATGGCCTGGAACTCACTGTGTACCAGGCTGGCTTTGAACTCAGAGATCTGCCTGCCTCTGCTCCTGAGTGCTGGGATTAAAGTAGTGCACCACCATACCAGGCTCCTCTTTTTTTTTGTAATAGTAAAAAATATTGCAAAGTTATTTATTCTTACAAACAATGGAAAAAATACTGTGATATGAAAATTCTTTTCATTCTGCTACTCAATCTTTTGAGAGATTCTGGATCATCTCAACTCCTCTCTCCTCATTTTCTCTTAAATCTAGTCATTAGTTCAGGGTAATGTTTTTTCCATTTCTTTGCCATTCCCATTGGTTCTTTGGTGACAAAGTCTTTTCTCTAAACCCGAGTAATGTGATAGATGCCAGGCAGTTGATATCCTCATCAGCAAACCTTATCATTACCTCTGTTTCATTAGTGAAAGAACAATGTTATTTAACAAAGGCTTGATGCTCAATACTTAACATCATGAGTGCATTTGAATGCTTTAGAATGAAGTGCCCCAGCTCAACAGGGTCTCAGTAGGATTTTGCTAAAAGTGGCAAGTTGTACCTCACATGGACTAATAACAATATGAGCTGCTTTCTCAAGTTCCATTTACATGACATCACGTTCTGCCTTGCTAGACATCCTGGAGGCGGGGCACTTGATGTTTTATCATAGTACAGCATGGCTGCTCACATCATACTTTCTTGCCATTCTTGAGTGCCTTATACATGCACACATGTTTGCAAATATATATACATATGTATATACATATGTATATATATGTATATATATTTGCGCGCACGTGTGTGTGTGTGTGTGTGTGATACATATGTATATATATATGTATATATATTTGCGCGCACGTGTGTGTGTGTGTGTGTGTGTGTGTGTGTGTGTGTGTGTGTGTGTGTGTGTGTGTACAGATACTAGGGTTGGATCCTAGGGTATCGTGCATGGGAGTCAAGCATTGTCGCACCCAGGTACATTCTTATCCCATAGCCTAGGTTTTGTCACATCAGCATCCCTGTACTAATATCGATGTTTGTGTTAGTCAGGAATGCTATAAGAAAGGTCAGCAAGCATGATTTACATGTAGAAATGATTTCCTACTCATGGAACGGTTTCCAAGTGATCAAGCCCGGGCTAATGTACAGTGTTGGGGATCACAGTTTCTTTTATCTCGTTGTTCTGCTCATTCGGATACAGTGTCATCCCAGGCTTAATGGGGCAATATTTTCTCACATTTTAGATGCAGTCCAACCAGGAGGAAGGAGAGAACTAACAGAGGAAGAGAAGTTGCTTTGCTTTTAAACACAGGGCCTAGACTTTTCTCGTATCACTTCTATTCATGCTTTTAGAAAAAGTTTAGCCATGGAATTCAGTAGCCATTAGAAAGCTGACCATTAGCTGGGCTGGAATAATGGTTTCTATTACCAAGCAAAGTGAAAGGAGTACTGTTATCTCTCTGCATTACCGTCCTCATGTAGTACTTCCTTCAAGGATCTGGCAGTTTCTGATTGTCTGTGTCCTCAAAACAGACTGTTATTAAATGGATGGACTATATGGTTAGCCCTCTGTGGCATCTAAAAATTTGCATTTATTTATTTTATATGTGTGTTTGAATGTATGTGTGTGTATATGTGCCTCAGTGTGATGTGTCTGTAATGGTCAGTGGTCAACAAGCAGGGGACAGTTCTTTCCTTCTACTATGTTGATCCCAGGAATCAAACTCAAGTGGCTATGATTGGTGACAAATGTCTTTCCCTGCTGAGCTATCTCACTGGTCCCTGCTTAGCCTGCTCTACCCACAGGCTCTGTGTCCATGGATTGAAACCATCATGCACGAAAGATAATCAGGAAAAACATCTGCATGTAAATACTTCTTTTTCCTCATCAGTGCTCCCTCAACAATATTGAGGTGTGACTACTTACCGCATTTTCACTACTGCAGGTATTAGAAGCACTCTAGTGCTGATTAAAGTCCATAAGAAGTTGTGCATAGGTTATATACAACTGAACCTATGTAAGGAATTTGAACATCTACATATTTAGGTATCTAATGTGGGTCCTGAAACCCATACCCCAAGGGCAGCTGTTATTTGTAACCTATGGACAAAGTGGCAGAAGGAATTTTCCAGATGTAACTGAGTACGTGGGCTCATGATGAGGATTGTTCTATGTTATCTGGGTGGGAGGCCAACCCCATCTCATCAGTTGAAGATGGAGGCAGCAGGATGTACAAGAGAGACATAGCACGAACATTTGACATGGTTGTGGCTCTGGCGACTGAGGGTAGGCTACAAGGAATGTGGGCAGCTTCTATAGACTGCAGAGGGCACAGTTTCTTTTCTTGATGGAGAAAGACATGCAGTCAGCAGAGTCTTGACTGCAGGCAGTAGTGTGGTGGTTTGAATAGGAATGACTCCCATAGAATCATGTATTTGAATGCTTGGTCCATAGGAGGCCTTGCTGGAGGAAATATGTCACTGTGGGTGTGGACTTTGAGGTCTCACATATGCTCAAGCCATGTTCAGTGTGGCAGTCTCTTTCTGTTGCCTGTAGATCAAAATGTGGAGCTCTCAGCTCCTTCTCTGGCACCATGTTTGCCTGTACTCCACCATGCTTCCCACCACGATGACAATGGACTAAACCTCTGAACTGTAAGTCAGCCCTAAGGAAATGTTTTCCTTGATAAGAGTCAAGACACTGTGGTCATGGTGTCTCTTCACAACAGAAACAGTGAGACTGACATTAAGCATCTGAAACATCAAGCTAAAATAGTATGTTTCCCCCTTAGTTTTCACCACTTTGTTATAGGGGCACTAAGAAGTGAATGCAGAGAAACTGCCATCTTTTCAACGTGAGGTCATTATAGATAGATGCAGAGAATTTTCTTCTATTTCCATACACTATGTCCCTTGGTGACATCTCTAAGCGTCCTCCCCTAGGTCACAGTTGTTCAGTTGTGGATGAACTTTACTCTTCAAAGCACTTCTTCCTCATTTGGACTGTGGCTTTAAAACTCCACCAAAAATGCCACTGAAATCTCTACAGTGATGTTTAAGAATTACAGCAATTTAGGCTCTTGCTGCTTCTAGCCTCATCCTTGGTTATATTCAGCAATATGTCTGCCAGACTAGCCTATTAAAGATTGCTCATGATAATTTTGCTCATTACTAGAGTTTATCTGTTCAAAAGTTGTTGATGAAAAAGTGCAGGATAACACACTAAGTATCAATCGCTCTGGCAAAGAGTACTTTGTTAGAGAGTGCAACACAAGGTATTTCTCCTTCATCTCAATTAACATCTACAGAGGCAATTTGAATTTGCTCTAACAAATTCCTTGCATGAATGATTATTCTATCTGGCAACTCTCCCATGGTCTTTATGAGATTTCTTTCTTCCTCTCCTCATCCTCTGACTGCAGATATCTTTCTGGGGTTAGCCAGACACTCATTTGGAGTGGAAGTTCTGAATATGGCTTCTTCTCAGAGTTAGTAGGTTGAATGGCTTTTACATCATTGGCTTTCCAAGTCTTTAGTTTTCTCCATTTTTCTACGATGTCTCATTATCCGCCAGACCCTCAATAAGTACTTATTGAATAAATAAATGAATACTGGCAATAAATCCGTATGTGTTGCCAAGTGTACTGGTGTTATTGATAAGCTAAAGTGGGCTTTGTGGGAAGTTGTTTTGGAGATAAGGCAGTATAAATATTCTTTCCTATGTAATGTTGCTTTGTTTTTGCCACTGAACATTTAATAAGGTGAAAATACCACACAAACTTGGTAAGTGGTACAGCTAGATTTTAGAGATCATGCTAATGGAGATTTAGAAACTAAATGTACAATGCTGAAGCCACCATTATCCATCATAGACATCTGCACAGTAGCTAGGGCTCTACAATATGAATCCTTAGGTGAAAGTACGAATGGCCACTTCTGATATTTTCACCTTTGGGATGAATCTAGATGAAGTCTGTTATCAAAAGGATATGAAATAATTTCTTTGAATTGATTTCTATCTTTAACATCCAGCTTGTTTAGTATAATGGATACTTATTAGGAATTATATTTGGAAAATTACCCTTAATACTGAAAAAAAAAACCCATACCCATTGCAAGAGACAAGCATCAAGAAGCACCTCCCACTGGGTGTGGTGGAGCACACCTCTAAAGCACTCAGGAGGCAGAGGCAGTTAGACCTCTGTGAGTTTGAGGCTAGTCTGGTATATACAGTTAGACCCTGTCTCAAAAAACAAGAGAATAGAAAAGGAAAAGAGGGTAGCAGAGACTTACTGTTACATTGAAAGACACTAATATACTTAGGGTTCTTCATCATTTCAACTCCTATGTTGGACCTTTAAAAAACAAAACGACAAATTAGCCTGTCATCTGTCATAGAACACAGGCAACATGAATCACCCGTTTGTAAGGGAGCAAGAGTCCATTTGGAACTTCTGATAATATGACTACAAACTATGATTTAAACGGACTCTGATGGGACTGGAGAAATGGCTCAGTGGTTAAGAGCGCTTGGCTGTTCTTCCAGAGAACCTGAGTTCAATTCCCAGCACCCACATGGCAGCTCACAATTGCCTGTAACTCATGTTCCTGGGGATCTGACACCAATGCACATAAAATAAAGTTAAATAAGTTAAAAAAAAAATAAAAGGTCTCTGAGGTATTATAAATGAAGTAGGATTTGGGAAGACTGTACCTATTGAGGGTACCTGGAATCCAAGGCATTAGACTCATTTGCCACATGCAGTCAATGTATGTCTAGAAGCTTTAGATTTTGAAAATAACCATAAAATCTGCAATTAAAAATTGCTTCCACATCATCTACTCAAGTGTATATAGTCTTATCCTTAAATCACAATGAGCCTCCTCGTGTCAGTTTAAGACCACCTAAATTTCTCAATACAACAGACACGGCATCCTCTCCCAACAGGTGCACACCTGCTATCATTTAAAGTCAACCACTCTCCCATACTTTACCTGAGGAGTCTAGACCCCTTATGGTAGCACATAGACCTCTCATCACAAGGCCCCTGCTTCTCTTTTTAGTCATTGACTTCTGCTATTTCACTTTCAACTTTTTTTTTTTTTTTTTAACCCAGAAGCCTTGTTTTATGAAGAGTGAAAGTTATCTGAAGGAAGATAGGCCATCTGTTGGGTTGCTCTGTATCCTTAATACCAATCCAATGATTGGTAGAGAATAGAGTTCAGTTTGGTGCATGAATTAATGCTGTGGACATAGGGTAGGCAGGGGGTAGGAGAAGACTTGGTTAGTTGCATAATTAGAAATAAAAGGGAAGTAATAGAAACCCAGCTGTGCTCTCACTCACTCAGAAGGGGTGGGGTGGGAGTGGGGGTGGGGCTGCACCCCAGGAGCTCAAACTAGGATGCCCAGGCAAGATTCTTCAGTGTGTTAGTTTTTTCCGTATTTGGTGTTTGCTCTTACTTCTTGAAAACTACTAAACTTTGAAAACTACTAAGGAAGGAGTAGCTGAGAAACCAGAATTTTACTTTGTTACAAAGTAAAGGAAAAAGAAATGTGTGTGTGTGTGTGTGTGTGTGTGTGTGTGTGAGAGAGAGAGAGAG